CACATTATTTGGATTTTTGTTGAAGTTTATTTTAGGTATACGACATCAACCACGGAAAACATTGACAACCAAAATTTTTTAGCATATCATAATTTGGTGGTTTTTGAAATAACTTCTCAAAAGGTGATTTGTTAGACAAAACACGGGTAGGCAGCCTATTAATCAAATATGTTGTTGTAGAACACGCATCAAACCAAAACTTATTAGGCATGTATGACTGAGAAAGTATCACAATGCCGATTTCAACAATGTGTCGGTGTTTTTGTTCAACAATACCATTTTGTTCTGGATGATTTGGGCAAGAAAACCGTTGTGAAATTCCATGAACTGCTAAAAAAATTTGAAAGGCAGCGCTTTTGTATTTGCCACCTTCATCACATTGAAGTGCTTTAATGGTTAAATTGAACATGTTTTCAACTTTGGTTTTAAATTTCACAAATATTTCAAAGACTTCAGATTTATTTTTCATGGGAAAGATCCAAGAGTAACGTGAATAATCATCAATAAAAAAAACATAATACCGAAAACCTTCATTTGAAATAATTGGAGAACACCAAACATCAGAATGTAATAGTTGCAAAGAAAATTGGGAAACAGACCCAGACAGTTTGAAAGGTAACTTAGTACTCTTTCCTAAAGGACATGACTAACAAAAGGTTGCATTGGAGGTACCATGAATTGGTACCACTTTATTTGCAATAAAAAAACTTTATTATTGAATTGGCAGGATGACCAAGACCAGCATGCCATTTTTGAACCGAAACTCGAATCCCTACGAAGGCTGTGACTGGATATTGGAGTTGTCCACCGCCACCAAAAAATGGATACAAACCATTCTCACATCTCCCTCGGAAAAACGTCATCCGGGTCTTGAGGTGCTTAATAAGGAAAAAGTGTGGGAAAATGAGTAAGTAACAATCATTATCCAAGGTAAACCTATGGGCAGAGATAATACTAGTGGAAGCAGTAGGCCAGTGGAAAATGTCTTGTAAGTCAAATGAGCATGCATTAGTGCAAAGTTTATTAAAACCATAATAGGAGATTGATATGCCAGAATTATTATCTACACCACCAACACCATTATTACCGTTATACTCCTTAGGGTTCACCAAGTTTTACAGGTTCGGGGTGATATAAGCATTAACACCTTTATTGAGCAGCCATGTGCCATTCTGTTGCTTGTTGAGGGTGATCAGAGAAGATGCCATTGCTGAGAGGCGTTTGGCAGGGATGCGTCATTCATCCGTTGAAAGCAATCAAGTGCCGGATGACCAGGTTTACCACATATTTGGCAAACGATGCGCTCACTATTGGAAACAGATCGTTCCCCATTACTTGGACCATTACATTGATTGTTGTTTAGATGAGGGTTGAAGCCTCGTTGATAAGCCCCAGCACCATAATTGGAGAAAGATGCACCACACTCTACACCACGAGTGCGTCCTCCATCGCGGCCTCTCGTAGCAACAAAGGCATTGACAGGGGCATATTCCACCAAAGGAGTAGCTTGCTCAACCATTATTCTTTCAGTAGTCAACAAGAGCGCCTCAAAAGTCGGATACGTGATGGGTGTATCGCGATCTTAAGTAGCACTGACTATCATCTCAAAAGCTGGACCAAGATTGTTCAACACAATCCATACAAGCTCATCATCACTCACAAGTTGCCCAGCTAGGGCAAGGTTGTTAGCAATTGCATTCATGCGATCCAAGTAATCCACCACAGAGATATCACATTTTTTTGTCTACAACAACTCATTCCTCAGAAACAATATTCTATTTTGTGAAGATGATGCATACCTTTGCTCGAGAGCATCCCAAGTCACTCGAGCAGTTCTCTTACTGACCCCGACAGACAAGACTGAAGTAGTGAGGGAACCATTGATCCGACTGAGGATCATCTGATCCTGCTGGATCCAAGCAGTATAAGCAGGATTGACAGTGGCAACGCCATGCATGTTCTTAGGAGGGCACACCAGAGTGCCATCGACATACCCCATTAAATCTCAACTCTTGATAATAGGAAGTATTTGGGCCAACCACATTGGGTAGTTGGTTATATCTAGCTTAGTGTGCACGATAGTGGTCATGGAATAATATGGATGGATAGGGTTGTTTGGGGGGGGGGGGAGGGGGTGGGGTTTAAGGGTTGTGGAGAAGCACATGTGTTTTTAGCCATGGAAGCGAGGAAAAAAAAACAAGATCTGTGTCGTTAAACAGTAAGACTCAATACCATGTAAAACTTAAGAACACAGTAGCTTTCACTTCAATTTGCATGCCCATTCAAGCGTGTGCTGCATCTATTTATAATCACTTTTAGATTACATTTAGGGTTTGAAAACCCTGCTTACAAAGAAGTTTTTAGCCATGGAAGCGAGGAAAAAAAAACAAGGATATGTGTCGTTAAACAGTAAGGCTCAATACCATGTAAAACTTAAGAACACAATAGCTTTCACTTCAATTTGCATGCCTATTCAAGCGTGTGATGCATCTATTTATATTCACTTTCAGATTACATTCAGGGTTTGAAAACCCTACCTACAAGGAAGTTTAAAAATTAAAAAATACAAACTGAAATCTACAAAGATTACACGCAACTTTAGTTACAAGAATAATTCAAAGTAAAGTCCTACAAACAAGGAGATAAGACATCTAAGCTCATCACAACTTCTCAAGTGACGTTGGCAGTAACCAACTGTTGACTTCGTCTAACAACTTCTACTATACATCAACGTAGAGCATACATTGCATTTGAAGCGGCTCATGTCTAGCCATTTAAGAGCACGTTAGAATTGCTTTTAAAATGACTAAAAAAGTTTTCAAGTGCTTTTACATAATTCACTTGTATTTTTACTAAAAATTTGTTCTAAAATCGTTTGCACGTGAAGTGTTTTTGGCTGCCTCTTTTAAGTTCAACCTTCCCTACTATCCCTTTATAAAAAACAGTAATGGTTATTTGTCCACAACCAATTTAGGTCGGTTGAAATCTTTATATCAACAACTTTTTGGCAATTAATTACTTTTTTTTTGTCTTGTTCCCGAACAGTTAAACTATATTTTTCTACGCAACAAAAATAAATTAAACCTTTTGTCCATAGGATTTGACTTATCTTTTATAAAATACAAAAAAGTTTCATCTGCAATGTCACGAAATCAATCCAGGTATTATATTAGAGCGGTAATGGAGATTGTGAGGCATCCTAATTTGGAGTCAATTAACCGAAAAAAATAAATACAATAAAAACATAAATAAATAAATAAGTGTTTTTTTTTTTGATCTTTTTCTCATCATATCAGGTGCTTAATCCTAATGACACATCTAGAATCATAACTTCGGGTGGTTACAATGTAATACTTTCAATTTTTTTTTCAAGAACAATAACATTAAAAAACTGAATTATAATACTTTTCATTTATAAATCATGATAAAATAACACTCCCAAGTTACAAAGTCTAAAAGCTAAACGTCGTTTCAGCCATATCATTAGGAAAATAATATCGCTTCTTCTCTTATATTGATAGATTTTCAAAATTTTAGAGAGAGAAAAAAAATCAGATTTTTCTTTAACAAGAAACGAAGATATTGATTCTTTATTACGTGGTATTATGAACTTTTTTTTTGTATTACATTATCTAAAAAATGGTCAACTTCCAAAAATAAAAAATTATAGGTCAAACTTAGTGGCCTTTTAGCATGTGTTTTCTTCCTCGGGAGAATGCTGCCACAACTCCTACATGGATGCACCAGAAATTTGATTGCACTACAATTTGACAATACATATTGGTAGCCCATATAATCCTAGGCTTTAGATCCTTCCTCCATGACGAAACAGTTCGAAGGTTCCCGAAAGACCTTTATAGGCATTTTTTTCCTGGTTGCCAGAGGGCTCCGGAACTGCCTTGGTGAGCCTATGTGAATTCGCCCTTGTTTAGCCCCCGGGTCAAATCGTATGCCAAAGTAAAACCGGTAGTCCAAAAAATGTGAAAGTTCAAACTCGAGTTCAGAATTCCAAACCTCTATTCTCTTTCCACTAAATAAACCTCTTGGAGTTTTCTCTTTAATTTACGTCTCTACAAATGAAAAGATGACGTATCATTTCAAACACAATTTAAGATGAAAAAGTTCGCTTTGGATTAAGATTGATAAGAGTTTTTTCATCATAATACTTTACATAGATATACGACCCCCGCGACAAAGATGAATAATCTAAATTGGCCCTTCAACTTTTTGGTCATTTCCTTTCCTTTAATTGTCTTGGACAAATTTGAAATCAACGTGCTCGTTCGTGTAGATACAATTCAGCTAACTACTATCATGAAATCGATATTTTTATATTAGGAGAATGGGGAGTTCGGTTAAGCCACACAATGAGCGGCCTAATTTGGCTGTGAATTCGCCATCCACGAGATTCGACCCTAAAACCTCTCACTTCTAAATGAAACGGAATACGACCATAATATTGAATAGCGACTAATACGAATATATTAAACATGCGTAAAGCACACGTCGCAACTCTCAATTTATATACTTAAATATCAACTTGATAAACACGTAACATTATCCGCTTAAAGATCGTAAAAAATCCGATCTTATTAAGCAATGCAATCAACCCAAAATCTCACTTTCCATTGAAATCAAACTTGCTCAAAACATCCAAAGCCTCACTTGCATGAGTGCTGTCATATGAAACCTTCTCTCTTCCACCGAGACAAACAAACCCCATCAGATTTCAGAAACCAAACCCCATCGAACTTCCCCCCTCTTGACCTCGAGTCTTCCCCCGGCGCATCTTAGCAAAAACCATACGGGAACCACTAACCTGCGCCCCAAAGTCCCTGTCAGTGTCAGTCGTCGCACCGCTGCTATCGTGCGCCGTCGTCGCCCCCTATAAAATCCAACTTGGGGACATCAACCTTCCATGCGCCAACCGAGCAAAAGGAGAATAAAAATATATTATTATTTTATCATTTAAAAAAAACAGAAAAATATAAATGTAAAAATAAAAATAAAATAAAAAAACCCATAAAAATAATTAAAATCTTTCTCTTTCTCTCTCTTTCTTTTTTCTCTCTGTGTTTGTTTCTCTCTCCTCGTAGCATTTCCAGCAGAGAATAAGGAAACGAAGAGAGAGAGAGAGAAGCATGGTTTCAACGAGGCGAAGTGGATCTCTCTCCGGGAACAACTGCAAACGATCGTCGTCTTCCGAGGACAAGCCACCGTCACCGAAACGACCGAAGGTTCTTTGTCGTTGAAACAATCGGATTTTTTGTTATTTATTTTTTTTGTCCATTTCTTTGGTTTTTATTGGGGAGGGTCAAAGATTGGGTTTTTGGGGGTGGTGGTGAATTGTGAGATTTAGGGTTTTTATTGGGCTTGATTTCGCAGGCGGATAATGGTAGTGCTTCGGACAAAGCGACTCCTGGGGTGGAGAATTCGAAGGAGCTGTGCACGCTTCCGCCGGCGGGGGCTGCCGATCCCGGAGAATGTGGTCCCGAAGATGCGCCGGTCGCCGGAGACGGGGTGACTTCTGGAAAGACCGAAGCTGCTGCGCCAGCTGTGGCGGTGACGACACCGATCGCCGAAGGTAGGTTCTTGGCGCGCCGACTTTGCATTTCTGTGTTTGTGGTACTAGTTTGTGAATTTTGGGTTTTGGCTGCTGTTTTTCTTGAGTTTGGGTTGTGGGGTTCGGGTTTTGGTTGAAATTTGAAGCCTTGGAGATGTTGGTTTGGTGGTTTATGAAGGGTCTTCGCCGGTGGTGGAAAAGCAGCCGAGGAGTGCACCGTCTTCCTGGAGTTTCTATCAGAAGCAGAACCCGAGTTTTGATACGCCTTGGTGCAAGCTTTTGTCACAGTCTGCACTGGTAATTGTTGCTTATATTTTTTAATTATATTATAAAGTTGAAGAATTGAGCTTGTTGTGTGATTTTCGACTGAACTACTCTTTGGTGTTTTGCTTCTGCTTTTTCATGTTGCGCATATTAACCCCCTTTGTTTTCAACTGCAGAATGTAAATATTTCTATTAGTGCAATGGCATTCACAATTGGTGCAAACAGACAGTGCAATTTTGCTCTCAAGGATCATACCATTAGTGGAGTACTGTGCAAGATCAAGCGCACACAGGTATTCTTTGAGAACCCTGCGTATAATGTTCTGTTGGTACTTTGGTGCGTGCCTCCGGATGCAGACGGCAGAAGCTTTCATACCTGTTACTAAGCTGTGGTCAGACTATTTTTGTGGAACTGAGATATGGAGTGACCTACTTGGGTGTCATTCGTTTTTATTTGTTGGCTTCATTAAAATATGTACTTGACCTCTCATTGTTTCTGATCAGCGTGAGGGCAGTGCTGTAGCAGTTCTTGAAAGTACGGGAAGCAAGGGATCAGTGCAAGTAAATGGGACAAATGTCAAGAAAGGCAACAGTTGCATGCTTAACCCGGGTGATGAAGTTGTCTTTGGTTCAATGGGCAACCATGCTTATGTATCCTTCTCTTTCCCGGGTTATTTACTTATCTGTTCCCTTTTTTTATATTCTAAACTTAACTTCTGCATAGGACTTGCGTCACTTTTACTCACTTGTATAACTGTCTAGGCCCGTATATGTTTGTGTCCATATGGATATTTTCTTAACTTTTATCACCATAGATTTTTCAGCTACTGCTGACTGAGGCTGCAGTTAAGGGTGCAGAGGTGCAAGGCAGTATTGGAAAATTTTTGCATCTTGAAAAGAGGGCAGGAGATCCTTCAGCTGTGGCTGGGGCTTCCATACTGGCTTCTCTTAGCACGAGGGCAGAACAATCGCGATGGAAGTCCGCAGCTCAGACCACCAGTAAAGTTCACCCCGGTGCTGAGGTACCAGCTCAGTCTGTCATTCAAGATGATACAGAAATTGAGCTTGGTGGTCTAGAAAGCAGCTCAACTCCAAATAGAGCGACTGACAAAGCTGAAGATATTGGAGCAATAGACAAGAATCTCACTCCAGACTGCAACCCCGATTCTAGCATAGAGGCAGGCAATGTAAAACTTTCTGGGATGAATGATTTGCTAAGGCCTTTATTGAGGATGTTAGCTCGATCACCTAGTTATAAACTAAAATTGAGCAAAGGTATCTGTAAACAGGTATTGGAAGAAAGAAACGAGTGGATGAGGGATTTGCAATCAGCATCAACGTCAGGCATGTCTCTCCGGTGTGTTGCATTTAAAGAAGGCCTTCATGCAGGAATTCTTGATGGCAAAAGCATAGATGTCTCCTTTGATAACTTCCCATACTATTTGAGGTATTACTTTTTTCCTTTGATGATAAGACCTGTTTGTTTATTAATTAGAATGGCCGTATAATATGCGCTTTTTTGACATTTATTAGTTTGATGTATACAATATATGCTTTTTTGACCAGTGTTGTTGCAAGTATACTAGCCCAACCAATTAATCGTTTCTTTTGTTCTTCTGAATGAACAATCATAATTTTGTACTCTGTTAGATCTTCATCCCCATTTATCTTTTCATCTATAAATTAGATTCTAGATGTGAATATGTGAATCATGACCTTTCTCTTTCTGCTGTACTTTGCTTCTCTGTTCCTAATTATTTCTTTTATCATCTACTGACATATAACCCTCAAACCTCTCTTATACTTAGAGAGATTTGTAGGGATGTGAATCAGCTAAGTGGATCATATTGAATTTTTTGGGTCGTTTCTTTGTCAATTTTTTTTGGTTAAAAGGTCGTACCCAGTGCACAAGGCTCCCGCTTTACGCAGGGTCTGGGAGAGGTGAATGTCGGCTAGCCTTACCCCCATTTATGGAGAGGTTGACACTGCAAATTGTGAACCCATTTTTTTGGTTCAATCTTTAGTCATGCTTTTATTTGTACATATTTGCTTCAGTGTGTATGATTCTCGTTAGTGGTTTTGGTGATTATGAAAATAATACTTCTAAGTGATGTAGTTATTATTCTGACATGTCTTTTCTTTTGCTATTGATTAATACACTTTGTGATTGTTAAATCCAAGATGTACTTGTCATTGAGTTCATGTCATTCTCTTATTTCAGTGAGAATACGAAGAAAGTGTTGATTGCAGCCTCATTTATACACTTGAAACATAAAGAGCATGTGAAGTATACCTCAGAGCTTACAGCTGTGAACCCTCGCATTTTGCTCTCTGGTCCTTCAGGTATGCATATAACAAATTAAATTTAAAATAAGGCATTTATGATACATAGGTTTCGTTCCCGCAATTGAGAATGTTTGTTTCTGAATGCCTTTTCTAGGGTCTGAGATATATCAGGAGATGTTGGCAAAGGCTCTTGCGCAGTACTTTGGGGCTAAGTTGCTCTTATTCGATAGCCACTCTTTTTTGGGTGTAAGATAAACAAAACCTCCTTGACGTTCACTCAACTTCTTCTTGTGATATGGAATCAATTTAATCATTTTGTTTTTGGTCCATGGCGTATAAAGTTAAAACTTTTGCTTATGTCTTATCAATATTCTTTCTTTATAGCCGACCCCACTTAGTGGGAAAAGGCTTTGTTGTTGTTGTATTTTTAGTATACATTCCCTAGCTAATTAGTGGGAATTATCAATAACACATGTTAAATAGGGTTTATCATCAAAGGAAGCTGAGCTGCTCAGGGATGGATTGAGTGCAGAAAAACTCTGCAGCTTGACCAAACAAAGTCCCGCACTCCCAGACTTGGCCAAGAACACTGATCTTTCAGCTTCTGAAACAGAGGCACTGGGATCTTCAAATGCACTGAATGACCTGGAATCCCAACCAAAGATGGAGAATGACACCCTCCCCTCTTCCTCGGGGGCATCGAGGAATTACTTGTTTAAAATAGGTTTGCCACTTGGCAGGACTTTCAGCTGCTTTTTCAATTTAAAAGTTTTTTATTTTTTATTTTTTATTTTTTAAATTTCGTTCTAAAATTTATTTAAATTTATTTGTACATAAGTTGGCATGATTCCTAAAAACTACAATGTGCAGGTGACAGAGTAAGATTTATTGCTCCAGGTGCCTTATATGCTACATCATCTTCTTTACGGTATAATTCTTACAAACAGTGCACTTGGGTTATGTTGTATCCTTTAATTTAATGGAGTGCCTCATTTACTGATACTATTTGTCTTCTGGTATGTGTAATTAGAATTGAACTTGATTCCTGTATCTATAAGTTTCCTCTTGTACTGATGTAATGTTTGAGTTTGAGCTGTATATCACACAATTTTGATTAAGAGTACATTTATCTACCTGTTGTTTTATTAATCTGATCTAGGCAGTTTTGAAATCGTTTGGTCTGTATCCTGTTGTAGCATAAATTTTATGCAGCTCCCAGGAAACAACAGGAGGTTCATAAAATTTATAGTGTATAATGAGTTTTCGGTTTTGTTCGTTGGGATATTGGTGTTCTCATATATCAGTTGGTTAATACTTTATTGAAATATTTACTGTTAATAATAGTGGAATGTAAATTCGTAATGTATTATTGATATTGTTGTTTCTTGTCAACATAATTATGTAAGCTTCTTACATACATTTACCAAGTTCATCAGTTACATTTGGGTATAATATTGTATCATGTTATCAGAGTCTAAACTTTGGTTTTCCCTATAATAAAGGTGGTCCACCTATTATATTGCACTCATGCTGGTACATATGTATGTCACTCGTTATGCAGGGGCCCAGGGATCGGAATGCGTGGAGAGGTTGTGCTGCTTTTTAAGGACAATCCTTTGTCAAAAGTCGGTGTAAAGTTTGATAAACCAATACCTGATGGTGTTGATCTTGGGGGTCTATGTAAAGGCAATGGATACTTCTGCAATGGTATGTTTTTGCAGTCTTAGACAGTTTTTTGTCTTCTTTAATTCTACACACACATATATATGCAAAACCTTGCTTATCCTCTTTTTTTGTAGTCTTTGATCTTCGATTGGAAACCACGGGCGCAGAAGATTTGGACAAGTTACTTATCAACACATTGTTTGAGGTGGCATATCTTCCATAGACTGATTTTCCTTTTTTCTTTTGGTTTAACTGTATCATCTCCTTATGAGTTCTTATCTTCTCTTTAAGGCTGTAATAAGTGAGAGCAGAAGTTCCCCTTTCATTTTGTTCATGAAAGATGCTGAGAAGTCCCTGGTAGGAAATTCTGATTCATTTTCCGCATTCAGAGCGAGACTTGATAAGCTTCCAGATAATGTGGTTGTAATTGGTTCTCACACTCAAACTGACAGTCGCAAGGAGAAGGTAATATTTATGCTGGTTTCTGCATATATTGTGTGTGTACTTTATTCTTTAATCCTATATCACCAGAAGATGATGTTGATGTAGTATATCATATAGCTTACTTGAAACGAAAAAATGGAACATTGTAAAGGAACTTGAAATGTCTAAAGCCTACATGTTAATGCCATACCATAATATTCATGTATTTATCTGTGAAAGATAGTGATCCAGTGATCATAGAGAAATGAGTATTTAGATGCTGGATTTCTGTACAAGTTTAAATACTCTTTAGAACTGCTGTCAAAATTCTTTGACGATGTACAAAACCATCCTTATGTTTTAGACAATGCTTTCCACAACATGTTTCTACCATTTCTCAGCCACTCTAGATACACTCTCCCCTGCTGCAGTATTAGATTTAAAGTAACACAACTGATAACCATATAAGGATTAACTCAATGCATTAGGTGTAACCATGGTATATGGATTAGGTGGTACAAACTGGTGGCAGTTAAATTGTCAAAAAGCAGGGGAATCCTGTATAAAGAACACACTGTATGAAGTCAAGTATGACGTGCTTAAAATTGAGTGCTTATTTTGCTTCCTCTTTGAACTTCATCCATTCTTGCAGTCGCACCCTGGTGGTTTGCTTTTCACAAAGTTTGGCAGCAATCAAACTGCTCTTCTTGACTTGGCTTTCCCGGTAATGTTCATATACCTCTAACATGTACATTTGCTTATGCCTTTCATTTTTTCCCTTTTCTTTTAATCTTTTGCATAGCAGCTTGGTTGAATTATCTCTGCCTTAAATTTTTGGTATTTCTGGATGGTGGCCTTTTGCTTTTTTGAGTGTGGATTGTTTGTGATTACAGGATAGTTTTGGAAGACTACATGAGAGAGGGAAAGAAGTTCCCAAGGCGACAAAACTTCTGTCTAAACTCTTTCCCAATAAAGTTACCATTCATATGCCGCAGGTTTGTATATTGCTTCCTGTTTCATATAGGTTTCTTTTGTTTCCTCTTTATGGGGCTTTTCTTATTATGTTATGGCATTGCAGGATGAAGCACTTCTTGTCTCGTGGAAGCAACAATTGGATCGAGATGTTGAAACCCTAAAAATGAAGGGAAACTTGAATCTCTTGCGCACTGTGAGTTTGTTTTTCCTGGCTGTTTCTTATCACATATACGGAGATAGCCTTGGACACTGTGTAGTTAGGTCCATTTTTGTGCTAGTTTGGGAATTCAGTTGTTTTATCTTTTTTCTAGGTAGAAGAAATCGTATGATATTGAAATCATTGTTATGGAGTTTAGAATTTGAATTCTCAGACAGTTTTCTGTCTATTCCCTTTTCTAGACACATGTACCAGGAGTTTGGGCTGGCAACCTCTCTTGTGCCAATCTTACTGGTACCTGGAACGCTTCATCCAAAACAATATAATTCAAGACAGAAAGTTTTAAGTAGTCAAATCTATTGTAAGGTTGGCTTTTGTAAATCTTATTTGTCCTTTAGCTGAATGGTTTTGATTACTGGTCAAGTGTGGCTGAACCAGGCTTACATATGAGTCTAAATGCAATTACCTGAGATCTGACAACCATACTGTTAGTGTTGAAGTGTTCATAGTTATTTAGATGCCCGACTCTTCACAGTGGATGGATCTTGTGGACATACCAAACAAATTTGTTGTTCAATTCTGTTGTGGTAGTTTATAGTTGTACTTTGGTTGTATATCCTTGGACATTTAATGTCATTTAGGACTAGTGGTCCAGCACTTCTTTGCTAAAACTGTTAAAATGCCGTGAAGAGCTTATATAAAGTTGACATGAATTGAACAATTGGCTTTATATATACAAAGGAGAAGTGAAAACTTTGACAATTGAATTTCCATAGTGTCTTTAGTTTTTTTTTTTTAGTATTTTGCTCATATAAGTGTATAATTACAGCTAATGAGTGTCAATATGATAATCAAGGTGCATTTTTCTATATCTAGGTTCTGGGTCGATGTGGACTAGAGTGTGAAGGACTTGAGACACTATGCATCAAGGATCAAACACTTACCAACGAAAGTATGCTCTTTTTATGATACATTAAGATGTCATTAGTTGCTTATGGTTCTGAATTGTTTCTGGGATCTTTTGTGACTTACGTATTATCTCATCTGTTGCAGGTTCAGACAAGGTAGTTGGATGGGCTCTAAACCATCATTTAATGCAGAATCCTGAAGCTGATCCAGAAACAAAAGTTGTTGTATCTGCGGAGAGGTAATTGACTGCTTAATTATTGCCATCTTCCTGAATAATTGTTAGCTGAAATATTAGTTATTGGTTGGATATTACACAGTTGTAATGCCATGTTGCAATTCTGGCAGCATCCAGTACGGACTTGAAATTTTACAGGCTCTCCAGAATGAAACGAAGAGTTTGAAGAAGTCACTTAAGGTAGTTGGTTTGACTTTTGTGTTTCCAACAACTTTTATGACCATAGTCTTTTCTCTGACTGGAGTTATCCCAAGATCTCAAATTGCTCTTCTTTCTTCCTGCAAGGTAAAATTCTATGTTAATCTTCCTAGTGTTTGTTCTTGGTTGAATCAGGATGTTGTAACAGAAAATGAATTTGAGAAAAGGCTGTTAGCTGATGTTATTCCACCTAGTGACATTGGAGTTACGTTTGATGATATTGGAGCCCTTGAGAATGTGAAGGATACATTGAAGGAGTTGGTGATGCTTCCTTTACAAAGGCCTGAGCTTTTCTGCAAGGGGCAATTAACCAAGGTTTAATGTTTTGTCTGCATTGAGAGAAATGTGCTTCTTTTATTTGATTGCTTTGAAAATTGTATGGCTTGTGTATGCATGTGAGTTTTAATGTTGATTATATAGTTCTGGTTATCATCTATGAACTTTTTTATTTTTCAGTACTAAGTTGCCAAATGATCAAATTTTAGTATTCTAGTAATATGGTTGGTGTATATGACCGTGATTATATGTCCTCTCTATGCAGCCTTGCAAGGGTATCCTTTTATTTGGTCCCCCTGGAACAGGCAAGACAATGCTTGCAAAGGCTGTGGCCACGGAAGCTGGTGCAAACTTTATCAACATATCCATGTCAAGCATCACATCTAAGGTTCGCAATTTAGATTGTTTGACTATGGTCTATTTTGGAAGTGATTTCATTTCACAAGTTTAAGCAATGTCTTCTTCGGTGCAGTGGTTTGGTGAGGGTGAGAAATACGTGAAAGCTGTTTTCTCGCTGGCCAGTAAAATTGCGCCTAGTGTTGTATTCGTAGATGAAGTAAGGTTCTTTTAATTCTCAGGGGATTTACTTATTTTGGGTTATTTCTTTCAACTGAATTCTCACATTATTTGTGCTTGTACTAGGTGGACAGTATGTTGGGCCGACGGGAAAATCCAGGGGAGCATGAGGCAATGCGTAAGATGAAGAATGAATTTATGGTAAATTGGGATGGTTTACGAACAAAAGAAACAGAGCGAGTTCTTGTACTGGCAGCCACAAATAGGCCTTTTGACCTTGATGAGGCTGTCATTCGAAGACTGCCGCGCAGGTAAATATCATGTCTAAATTGAAACAATAGCACCTTATATATGAAACACTTGTGTTTATGCACCCATCAACCCACATTTTTTGCCTTCTTTTTTTTTATTACAAGTGGTCAAGTTGTTTATACTTTAAATCATCCTTCTGCAGGTTGATGGTAAATTTGCCAGATGCTCCGAATAGAGCAAAAATATTGAAAGTCATACTGGCAAAAGAGGACTTGTCTCCCACTATTGATTTTGATGCTATTGCGAGCATGACGGATGGGTATTCTGGAAGTGACCTCAAGGTAATTAATTTGATATTATTTATTTTAATAGTTGATGGTTTCATTAATATCTATATCATTAATTGTCATTATATTGCAGAATCTTTGTGTAACTGCTGCACATCGTCCAATTAAAGAGATTTTGGAGAAGGAAAAAAAGGTTCGTATTGGGCTTTCTATGGCATTAGATTTGTCATGTTTTCTTTGTTTTTTTTGAGCGGCAGTCACTCAAAGCGTCTGCTGCTGGGTACTCTCACTTTGGATCAATTTACGTGTGCTTCCAAGAAAATCTGAAATTTCCAACTCTCTTCTTTCCAGTTTTGAGCCCCTCTACTCCCCAGCTTTAGACGTCATCGTTTCTCATTTTCGCTTTTTTATTCTCTATTGACCGTCGTCTCTTTTCTCTCCTCTCAAGAACAAAGAACTGATTTTCCACGGTGAAGACCAAAAACAAAACAAAACAAGGAGACATCTCTACATTGTTTTTCTAAAGACAGCCCACAATTTTTATTTATGTTGATATCATTTTTCATATTCTACTTTGGCAAAATCAACTAATTTTGATTTTCATTCTGTTCGTTCATTTCCGAATTCAAGTTCCAAAAGCCCCTTAAAACCTGAGGTAAGTAATGGAACTTATTTTTTTGGGCCTTACATGTCTGCCGGTGACAGATATGGTCCATTCCCATGGCTGTGGCTCTATCAATAGCAAACCTGGTTTAAATCACATTGCTTATTTAATTGATTTGTCAAACGATTTTATAAATTCTGGGTATAAGAGAGGTGAACGGACATGCTGAGGAGAGGAGAGAGAAGTTGAGCATCTGTGGATCTTGATATATCAGAGAGAGAAGGGATAAGGGGGTAACAAGGACATCATCATTTTTAACGACAAAAATGAGAGTTACTGAATTTCAATTGTTCTTGGGAGTCTAGGAAGACACGTGGGTTGCTCCAAAGGAGACTGCCCATCCGCTGTTGCTCCATTATCATTACTCTGTTGTTTTATTGTATTTTGGGGTCGAGCATGCCTGTTGATTTCTAGAGAACGTATGATCTGATTTGTTCTACTGATGACAGGAGCATGCTGTAGCTGTAGCAGAAGGTAGAGCTGCTCCAGCTTTGAGTGGCAGTGCTGATATACGGTCTCTGAACATGGACGACTTCAAAGATGCTCACGAACGGGTAAGATGGATATCAAATACCATTATCATAACTTCTTTCTCTTCCCTATCTCTTCCTTCACATTATTGTGCTTTTATTTTATGTACTTGTTTTGTGGAAACAGGTATGTGCCAGTGTTTCATCGGAGTCTGTGAACATGACCGAGCTTTTACAGTGGAACGAATTATACGGCGAAGGGGGTTCAAGAAGAAAGAAAGCCCTTAGCTACTTCATGTGAAGGCTTCTGCTGTACAAAATGGGTTTTTTTCTCCTTAATCAATTTTTTTATTTTCGTTTACAATTTTCCGTCCCATAAATTTCTGCAGTTCTTCTCCTAGAGCCCGATGTAAGTTTTGCCTCCATCTTACTTACGGCTCTGTAGACAATCATTTCCTGTAAAATGAAATTCAGTTTTTTACGCTGCTTTTATTGTCCCTTTAGTTCGATGGTGGCGGGTACAAGTGAAGCGAAAGCCTTCTAAAGAGAAGTGGCTTTGGCTTCACCACTTGTGTTTCGTTCCCCATCGTCATTCTGTCGGCGTAAAGAAAGTGTCTGTTAACCCCAGTTATTGTGGTGACAGTAGAGAAAACAAAGGCAAAGACGGAATGGTGATATGTGCATATAGTCATTTTGATTGCGCTCGTTGGAATTGAACAATAAGCAGTTAGGAACCATTGACATTTTCTGTACCATGTATCATATAGATGCTGCCTTGGCAGTTTTTTTCTGGTCTCACATTAGTTACAGTACTTTACTGCATTATTTTCCTTCAATTTCTCGTAACTTTTAATGTTGAACATTGTTGGATTGATGCCGGTTTGTGAAGTGGTGCTGGGTGATGATTAACTGGTGCTTGATTAATTTAATTTTTCATTAATCAAATCCCTTGCTTGTTTCTTCCTTTGCAAGTAATGATTCCCACTTGCCTGTATTAGTAGTTTTAACACACGATTCGGGCTCTGCTTGGCTCCAATTAAGAGTATTTCGCCCTTAACTGCATGTTACAAATTGACACGTATCTTAAGTGATTTTTAAAGATAACAGGGAAAAGTTTATTCACATGAGTGAAATTTTGTTGTCTATAATGGCTGGAATTGGGTCGGTAACCGAACCAGGGTGGGGAAATTGACCGGCGACTATGGTGGGGAAATTGACCGGTGACCGGTGGAATGGTCGAAGCTGGACCTGATACTGCAAGCGGCAACAAGTACTATCACTAAGAGGATGCTCAGTTTATGTCTCTGATGAGGTACTTATGCATATGTTAAATGTTAAATGGTGAATGTGATGCCGGATGTCCTAAAAAAATTCCCGAGTAATCTCAGAATAGCTTTGATGGTTCGTTTATTAATTTGCAAGCGGGTGTAGAGGAATTAAATTGACGAGGTTTTTCGGTTTTCTTGAAGCGTTTTATTGAATCATTTGGGATCGTGGTAGGAATGATACTTCACGTGCCAGATAGATTGAATGGACATGCATGAAATTTTGGAAATATTGTATTCTAGATAAAAATTTGACTCATTTTGGACTCTGGCATTCCATCAGAGTCTAATTCCTCCAAAATCATATTTTTGAGGTTTTTAGCTAAAATGTTTTTTATGATTAACATAACTCCTTACTTTGGTTCTTGAGATTTAAAATTTACATAAGTGGTTCCTATGATTATTCTCCATCAATTATTTTGGTCATTCTGTGAAAAAATTTCGTTAAACTAAAGTAACCACTAGTTTAAGAGGAGGGGTGGATTTAACAAACATACATGGAGATTTCTCATGGAATAATCAAAATGATTGGTAGTGGACAATTTCAAGGATCATTTCTATCGATTATAAATATCAGAGACCAAAATGAGGAGTCACATTCTCAGAGACTATTCTACATAAAAAAAAAAAAAACCTATCGTTGACTTTGATTTCGGTTACAAATAAGTAAACATGTCACTGACCAGACGGCCATGGACCCCATCTTGTGATTAGTCTTAGTTGGGCTTATGCCACCAATTTTACCGGATCCCAATAAAAGCCCATGCTTACAATTTCGACCCAAAAGAAAGAGTTACTTTTTCATTGACATTTACAGTCCGTACAAATAGAAAGATTAACCCAGTAAAAAAGAAGTAATCCAGATCCGCAAAGTGCCCAGCCGTTAAAAAACCCGCCCCGGTAAACCAGTCGTCTCCATTTTCTAACACCCCAACATAACCACCTCCTCGATTCCGATTTTCCCACGCACTTTCTCGGCATCCAAACACGTTGTAACGAAATCAGAAGAAGAAAGACAAGTGAGAGAAAAAGAGAAATCTAAGTCCAATGGCGGATCCAATCGCAGCCCCGCACAGATCCGCCGCGGACCTCTTCTCGGACCCGCTCGACTCCCACCCTCTCTGGTTCAAGCCCGCGCTCTTCCTCTCGCCAGAGTTCGACTCCGAGTCGTACATCTCCGACCTCCGGACCTTCGTGCCCTTCGACACGCTCCGATCCGAGCTCCAGTGCTACCTGGCCTCCCTCAACCACGAGCTCATCGACCTCATCAACCGCGACTACGCCGACTTCGTCAACCTCAGCACCAAGCTCGTCGACGTCGACTCCGCAGTCGTCCGTATGCGGGCCCCGCTTGTTGAGCTAAGGGAGAAGATCGAGCAGTTCAGAGGCTCCGTGCAGAACTCGCTCGTGGCTTTGACGAACGGATTGAAGCAGAGATCAGAGGCGGCCGAGGCCAGAGAGGTCTTGGAGCTCCTGCTTGATACGTTTCATGTCGTTTCTAAGGTAATGCGTCTCTGAATTTAGCTTTGGCTTTGGGAATTTAGAGCTTGTGACAGTGATTTAGTTGAAGGATTAAGTATTAATTTCATTGCTTGATTGATTTGTTACTAATGTAGTTCGAAAGGAATTTCCAATTTTACACACCACAAGAGAGCATTTTTTATTTTGTTTTCGAATTTGATGTCTTCTGAATTTACTTTGGTTTTGTATAATGGAGGCCTTCATATTATTTCGTGTTATTTTGGATCTGAAATTGCATGCCATGGCGCTGTCTGGATTTCCAATTTGAGAACTTTGAAGAAGAAGAGAAGATTAAACAGAGTGGAAAACTAGTCTAGATTAATGACAATGTTGTGTTGATCTTTGCTCCCGTTCTCGGACTTTGAATGCAGGTTGAAAAACTAATAAAAGAGCTGCCCAGTGTGCCGGCTGATTGGTCGAACGGAGATGTAAATTTGGCAGAGAAGAATTCTATTAGCAATGGAGCTTCCTTGCAACATACTGAGAACGGAACAAATCTCAGAGACACTCAAAGCATGCTTTTGGAGAGAATTGCTAGTGAAATGAACCGGCTGAAGTTCTATTTCGCTCATGCACAGGTTGCTTTTTCTCACTCTTACGATCATTTTTTTATTACATCCAACTTTGATATCTGTAGCTGTGGCTTTAGTTTGAATTCTAGCAGAATTCAGTTCAAACTTGTCGAGTGCATTTTCAACTGTGCTTTTTTAGTCATGAGTCACATATGTGTTACCTGTTGTTTTGGCTTTCAAGAAGTGCTGAGCGGTTAAAATTTGATGGTTTTATTTTCTTTTTGAAAGAAGCTATTAATTTTGTTTTGTTTATCTAGACAAGATATGAAAAAAATGTGGGTCTATATATGCAAGCTGAAATTGTTCAGATGTTAGATGACCTGAAATTTTGAGAATTCTTGCCCCTTTCCATCTGTACTAATTTTGGTTTGTCCGTGGAAGGAATTTTTGCTTATTATTCATCATAATTTAAAATAAAATATTTTCTTAGTGACTACGCTAAAAAAATGAGTAAACTTTGAATTGTTTTATCATGGGCTTGGACATTTTGTGCTCATCTATTTTCTCTATTATGCCAGTACAGAACCTGCCTTTCATTGAAAACATGGAGAAGAGGATTCAGGGTGCCAGCCTATTATTAGATGCTAGCTTGGGACATTGTTTTGTAGATGGACTGGAACATCGAGATGCAAATGCAATTTACAATTGTTTACGTGCATATGCTGCAATTGATAACACTAGGGGTGCCGAAGAACTTTTTCGCACAACTATAGTAGCTCCATTGATACAAAAAATTATTCCACATGGAACATCGGGGGCAGCTACAAGACCCTCTGGAGATGACCTTGAGAATGATTATAAGCAAATCAGGACATGTATTGAGAAAGACTGCAAATTTTTGTTGGAAATTTCTTTCGAAGGTATTGAGAAAGTCCAAACTCCACTACTTCTTCTTTGCAGTATCATGCTTCCATTACAACTATCTGAACTCATTTCTATAGGAATACAACATCATTGTTTCAATTGTGTGACTTTATTTAATGACCATGGTTCTGTGATGCACCCTAGTTTATGGATTAATCATGTGTATTCATGTAGACTGAAATCAGTTGTTACTCCTTTACGTCATCATTTCACAAGATGCACCATGTTTTGCTCCCTTTTTTTTTTGTAGTGTTATCATTACATTTATCTTTAACTCATTTATCTGGATTCTCGTTGCTTGAATTTCATTGTTTTATTTGTATACAATGCTTCTGAGATGCACCTTGGTTTTATAAACAAAGCAGATGGCTCATTCACCATCAATCCATGGTAACATAGAAGGCCATGCTATAGGTTATAATAGATGACATGGACAAGCATTCATGAATGTTATATCTCTGTATTTTTAAGTCTTAACTGTTTTTATGGATTTTTATTTTCAGAGAATTCTGGTTTGCACGTTTTTGACTTCTTGGCAAATTCAATTCTCAAAGAGGTTCTCTCAGCGATCCAAAAGGGGAAACCCGGTGCTTTTTCTCCTGGAAGACCAACAGAGTTTTTGAAAAACTACAAATCAAGCCTAAAGTTCTTGGCTCATCTAGAAGGTATAAATTAGTATTCCCCATTTTATCATTTAAGTTCTAAAATTTCGCGTGGCTTATCCACAGTTTAATTGATGCTGAGTGATAGTCTATTAGTCTGGGTATAAGTTCATATTTCGTTCATCATAGTTACAGCATTGTATTGTCATGCAAGGCTATTGTCCATCCAGATCAGCTGTTTCCAAATTTCGAGCGGAAGCTGTTTATATTGACTTCATGAAGCAATGGAACCTTGGGGTTTATTTCTCTTTGAGGTACTCAACAAAACTTTTGGTGGTTGCTGTATTTATTGAATATGAATAGAGTTTTTATGCTGTGGACTGCTCTTTTAATGTATTACTCGGATTATTATCTCAGGTTTCAGGAAATTGCGGGGGCTCTAGATTCTATACTTGTGGAGACCAGTCTTCTCCCTATGCATAATGTACCATCTGGTCAAGGAAATTCTCTAGCTTTAACATTAAAACAAAGTGTCACTTTGTTGGAGTGCTTGGAATCCTGTTGGAGAGAAGATGTCATTGTTCTTTCTTGTGCTGACAAGTTTCTGCGCTTATCATTGCAGCTTCTTTCAAGGTCAGTTTGAGGAGATTAGATGCTATGTTATAGTCTAGACCACAGTTTTATTACTGACGACATATTGTGACTGTATCATAGATACTCAAGTTGGTTGTCGTCTGGACTGGCTGCTCGTAAGATGGGTCAAACCGGCTCCAAATCTGGTTGTGAATGGGCTATTTCAGCTGTTCCTGACGATTTTATATATGTATGCTTCATGTCTTAATTTTAGTAATATAATTTAGCGTCCAAAATGCAGTAAGTCCATGCGTAGCTAGAGGGTAAAATAAGGCTAAAAGTCTTCTTGGACTTTATAAAAGGCTTCACATATTCTCTAATGTAAATCGTGCCACATCTCTCCAATATACATCCGTTAATTTAAAAAAAGAAAAATGAATCTTAACCCAGACTAATATATATTGGCTTTGCAGATTATTCATGACGCAGACCAGCTGTACAAGGTGGTTTGTGGTGACTTCCTTGGGCATGTACTTAAGCTTCTTTCTTCTTGTCCTGCCGATGTTCTTGATCTTGTAAAACAGAGCCTGTTACAAGGAGGAAAATCATTGAATGATTTAGTGCCTCAAGTTATCAACACAATTGTAGAGGCACTAGTTGAAAAATCTGCTGCGGTAGGTTTTGATTGATTAAGAATATATTTTGGCCTAATCATGAAATGCAAAAAAAAATGGACCCCCTTGGGTTTGCACTCACCTTTTAAAAATGTGAAGCTCCGTGATGGTTTTTAATATCATGTGAGAAATATATCCTACTGCTCTGTTATGGGTCTTCAGCGGATTTTCTTAGTTTATCATTTCCTGTCTTGTGAAGTCTATATTCGTTTTGATGTTACCTTCCTAAAAAAATGTAGGAATTGGCACAGCTAAAGGGAATAACTGCAACATACAGGATGACGAATAAGCCTCTTCCTGTCAGACATTCACCCTATGTGGCAGGAGTATTGCGTCCCCTGAGGGTATGCAGCCTTCTTTCTTTATGGCTAAAATTCTCATCCCGTTCCCAGACAAGTGAATGTTTTTTACTTTTATTTTTCCTTCCCTGCTGTTTTCAGTTGATAGTTTGAGTTGTAGCAATAATCTAGGGTCCGATATTCTAGGGTCCCATCTTGCAAGACTGGGTCTTTCAGATGAGGTGGAGTGTCCGATACTCTGGAACAGTTTTACCTTGTGCTAACTGCTAAATGGACTTGTTAAAACTGAAACATAACTGTTGTTTACGTTGTTTTAGACAGACTTTTTATTCGTAAAGTATGCAGCATCTTTTGATCTTCGGAATGTGCACCCTAAATTTTACTCCAGATTATAAATTATATACTGAACAAGCAACAACTTCCAGGCATTTTTGGAAGGAGAACGAGCTACACAGTATCTTACAAGGGACGCTATCAACGAAGTGCTGCTTAATGCTGCAACCGAGATTACTGGTCGTTATAATGAGCAAGCTGCCAACGTCGTCAGTGTGGTTAGTGTCCAGATGCTGAAATGGCCTTTGAAATATATAACCTTCTGCAGTTCATATTTGTTGAATTCTAAACTGTTATCACGATCAGGCTAGGAAAACGGAGACTTCACTCCAGAGAATAAGGCAAGGTGCACAAAGACGAGGTGGAGCAAGTTCAGATGTTTCGGATCACAATGTATCGGACACTGATAAGATATGCATGCAAATTTTTCTTGACATTCAGGTAAGAACTGGCCTACATCGTCCATCCACATATATACATATATAATTTTCGGGCTAACAAATTATTGACTTAATACAAGATGATTAATGTCGACGTATATGATTGTCAGGAGTATGGGCGTAACCTCGCCGCCCTCGGTGTTGATGTTTCCAATATTGAGGCGTACCGTTCCTTGTGGGAATGCGTTGCTCCTCCGGACAGGAAAAGCGTGATTGATTTCTGAAGTTGGGCATTTAGCCTTCACCCGGTTTGTAGATTTGAGCATTTGGCATTGACCCGTTTTGTAGATGTATTTTCTCACTTTTCAAATCCAAAGAGTTTTGTTGTAAGTTGATTAGTTGTGAAGTGTTGTTTGTTGCAAGAGGTTTCTCACATTCTCAACAACAAAATATTATAAATTTAGTATAAATTATCTATCGTTTGTCAAAATATTACGAGTTTTTCTATTTTTGACCCAAGGTGAAAAGGAAAATATAGGGAAATATTTTTAATTGGCGTCCAGTTTTATAGGTTTGCCAACGCTTTTTGGTGCCACCCTGAGCATCTCCAATGGGCTTCCTAAATGAGCTCCAAACTACAATTTTGAGATGATTAAAAAAGATCAACTTTAATCATGATCTTTTCACCTCTGAAGATAAAAATTCATGTTGGAGTCCCTAAATATAAAGAGATAGAAAGGAGCTCCTAGCGACTCTCTATTATTAATATTAATTCTTTTAATATTATTTTATGAATAGTTACTTCTTATTGGCTAATTGTTGACACATAATTGACTCTAAAGTAGAAGAAATTTTTTAGTATGCCGAGAATACAGCTCGGTCCTCCAAGTGTTATAACACAAGTTGAAAACAAAATTTCAAGCATCCAACCATTTGCATTGTGAAGCTTGGTGTACCTAACTTTGTTCGTAGCACACTAAAAAATGTCTCCTAAAGTAGGGAGTATAGTTAGAGTATAACTTTTTTAGAGAGCTCCTAAATCAATTTTTTTATGTAGTTTTTTAGAGAGATCCTGTGACGACCCGTCCCGAATTTATATTTATTTTATCCCCAATAACGGGGAAATGACTATTTTGCCTTTGAGCTTTCGGTTGTGATCGTATAAATGGATTAAGAAAATGGGAAAAGGGCTTAAATAATGGACCAATTTTATTATGTCCTACTTTGTTGGACCCAATAGAAATTTAGGGTTAGTTGGGATGAATTTTTAGTCTTTAAGGGATAGCCCAATTAGAGCTTAGGGATTTTTAAATGGTGCCCAATCTGGATCACCACACACACACACACTCACACGTGCAACCTTTCTCGTTTTCTCTCTTTCGTTCTCGAACCCTCTCTCTTTCTGTACACCTGAAACTGGCCCAAATCTCTTTAAACCGTTGCAGATCGAGCTAGTGGAAGTTATCTTCGAGTTCCTTGCAAGCTCAGGAGTCTAACCATACCATTAGTTTGACGTGAGGACTTCGGGAACTCGAGAACCTGTGAGCTCCGACAAGGTGTCATGTTGTTCGAGCTTGATCGCGAGTGTTTTGCGGGGTTTTAAGGTACGAGAGAGTTTTAAAACGACTTTACGAAGTGGTTAGAGGAATTTTGGAAGGTTTTGGAAGTCGGGACACTCGAGTTCATCGAGTTGCAGACTTAGCCGATTTTCACGAAATTTTTCCTGTCAATTTCCATTGAATTTAGGACTCCAAAGTGGTAAGATCATGTTCTCCTTGTTGAGAGCTTCATTTTGGTACAAATTTGATGAAATTTGGTGTTGAAATGAGTGAGATATTAAGGTTTGAAGTTTTTCCAGAAACTGGCGAGTGCAGCGGTGATCGGCGCTGGACTTCGGCGAACCAAGGAAGGAGAAGGAGAATATTCCGTCAACTTTGACGGAATATGCTAACAGGTAAATTAAATGGTATATTCCATTATTTAACGAAATATTTCCTAACGCCGTGAGGGAATCCATCAGTGTGCCAGGCACGTGCCTGCGCGTGGGCGGCGCGTGTAGCCGTGCGTTGGCTGACGTGTGAGGGCGTGTGGGAACTTATAAATTTTTTCTAAAAATATGGGGATGTTCGTGGGGTTGAGTAGGCCACAATGGTATAACAAATACCCCAATTGAGCAACATATGAGGTTATTTCCTAGTTTTGGTTATGTGCTTAAAATAACGTTAAAATAGTTGTTTCACATATAGGTGAGATGTTTCATGAGGACGAGCGCAGTCAGGTGAGGCTCGGGGGTTACGACCCTGCCACATACCAGTGAGTAGACTTTTGGTTATATATATATATGCTTTACGTTTTTGCCAGAAAAGTTGATTTAAATGATTTTATGATTTAAATGCCATGTCGAATACTTTATGTCTTAGAATATACTTCTAGTAGTTATGTATAATATTGTGGACTCTGCGGACACAGGTAAGTTCCATGTGAGTATAGGTATTAATGATTATGAGTTGCATTATGATGGTTATACATAGATGCATTTAGAGCTCATAAATCTGCACCCCGGTGTTAGTGCTCCCACCCGTGGCCAGGGCGCAGTCCTTCACGTGATGTTCACCTCCTGCACCGCACGCTCACCTTGGATCCAAGTTTGGTGCACAGTCTTGTCATACAGACCACTATAGGTGGTTCCGACTCGTAGGTGACCCGCAATTATTCGCACAGTCTTCATGTTATCGTAGCATTTGAGCGTATTTATTTACACCCAGTCTTGTCATACAGACCACTTTAGATGGTTCCGATTCGTGTGCATGCATATTTGATGAGCTATAGGTTCAACCGTATAGGCCATAATAGGTGGATCCGGCTGACATATTACTTTTCATTGATTTACTTCACCTGGTTTACTTATTCATTATGCTAAGATATTTGGCATGGCGTATATGTGGATTTTGTTATTTCGAGTATGGTTTCGATATACGTATATATTCTATTTTCTGGGAAATTATACAGGTTTTACAGCGAGGGGTTACTATCTTTGATGATTGAAATGGTTTTGAAAAGATTTGTTTTTGTCCACTCACACTTTCTGTTTTGCGCCCCTCCAAGTTCTAGGTAGAAGCGTTCTTGTTGGTGGCTTACGAGGAGACTATGGCGGTTTTGACAAACGGTATTTAATGTAAGACCATCTCTCTGGTATTGTATAATTAGTATTTGTCCTGCTAGACTGCACTTAGGCTACCTATGCTCTGATTATGTGTAATCACACTTAAATCACGTCTCTAGCACCTATTTATTCGTCTAGTGTAAATTAGTTAGCTTGGTTTTTATTTACTCACATTTTTATATCCTTATCACTTCCGCACTATGCACATGATTATGTCACCCTCACGTGACGGTCAACATGCTTTGATTTAGGTCGGGGTGTGTCAACTCCTAAATTATTATTATTTTTTTATATTGGTTTAGCTAAAACTTTGCTATAAAATAGAGAACGTGATTGGAGATACTCTTAGACAACCCAAAAAAAAAAAAAAAGGAAAAAAAACCTAACCTCTACCAAATGATAGAAAAATTCATTATCCTATATGTTTCGATGATGATATATGGATTTTCAAGTTACATGAATTTAGGTTAATTTGTTAAGGATTAACTAAAATTTGTTAGGAATGCAGTACAAAAATTAGATAGAAGAACTTGGATTTCGATTACAGAGTATACTTCTGTTTACTAAACGTGATTGTTCATTGGTTGCGTCCAAAAAAATCATTCTCCACTCTTCCTTAATTAAAATAATAAAGAGAAACGTACAAATTAATTATTTTGAAATGCTAATAATAATTTCGTCAAATATTAAACCAGATTCTTAAAACAAATCCACTCATTCTTCTCCACATTCACAAAAGTGAAGGTTATGTACCAAATTGAAGTCTCTATTCATAAAAGACATTACAAGACACCTCAACTTTTATTACAGTAATTTTTTGTCACAAGCTGATGTCATAATACATAATTTTGTTCACAAATATATTTCAGACTTCATTTATTCATAACAAAAAAGAAATCATTACGTCATTTGGTAACAAAAAATTATTAAACCATAAAAACAAAAATAATGAAGAGAAATTGGCTGAAATAATCATTTTTCAAATCCCGACTGTAGAACCAGTTAATTTTTAGTATTTTGGCAATATTTAATCATTATATCGTTAATACCCTGGCGGATGGTGTTGAATTTCTACCATGCATCTAGGTTCGAAATTCCCCTCTCCCTTAAATTATTGTAATAGTTTTAAATCATTCTCTCTCTCCTTAATATTAATAAAATAAATAAAATAAATAAATCAATAAATGGGATACACTATATATACACACACAAGAGCACTGCAACTGCATACTGTCACTGCATCATGATTCTGAACTCTTCAAAGCAAATCACCCCATCTCCATTCAAATCAAACCGTTGGATCATCACCTTGCACTCATCAACGGACTTGGACTCACCCAACTTGCTCAGCATTCTCTTCAAGCTGCTGGGTGTAATAAACCCACACCCCTCCACATCATACAACTCAAAAGCCTCCCTTAAACCCTTCACCTTGTCCTCCTCTTCCCCTCCTTCCATTAACCCCACAAGATCCTCCAAACCCAGCAATCCGTCTCCGTCCGAGTCCAGCATTTCCACCGCCGCCTCCGCCTCATTCTGCAGCAGCTCTCCACCCATTAACCCTAGCCGGCGCCTTAGCTCCGCAGGCGAAACCTTTCCGTCACCATCTTCGTCAAAATATCTGAAAACACGTTCGTATCCTTTGTGACTTCCCATTTACAAGCGATATCAGAAGAGAATGAAGAGAAACTCGGATAAACGCTTTGAACTACTTGAGCTGCAAGCCACTTGCAACGACCCAAAATTATTAATTATATATACTTAAAGTTAGCAAAAGCCCAAATGAATTTGATTGCAATGGGTTAATATTATCGCAGCCATGCAGGCAAATATATATAACAGTTTTGCACCGAGTTATTGCCAGAGCAGGTTCCATGATCATGATTAGAAGTTGCTGTGAGTTTTCTAAACTAAATACCTGGGAAAAGCGTGGCTGCTCACAGAGTCATGCGTGAGGTCAATAGTAAAAAAAGGGAAGGAACGCAGAAGCAGATATTGCGCAAGGAAGAAGACGGAAGAAGTTCAACGCTGTAGAAAGACAGACCCTAGGAACACTCTTTTATGGTCAACATCCTCCTACTTCTGACTTTTTGGCAAAACACTGCGTTGTACACACGCGTACATGACGTATCAATTTGGTGTATGAGATGTACTCGTATAATCATAATCGTATTAGTAAATTATAGGATCAATTACAGTTTGACCGCTTGAACTATCATTCCAGTTGAAATTGATAATTTACTAGAATAATAGTTCACGGAATCAATTTCAACTGAAGTAATAATTCAAAATGTTAAATGTCAATTCACCCTAAATTATAACCTATAGATCTTAGCTTAGGAGGAAACTTCATAAGAGCACTTTGATCACGTGACTAGTCTGATTCTAACAATATTGTAAAAAGAGGGAAATGGAATCTCCGTGTATTAGAGATTATACTGGCACACATGTCACGTGTCTCTACCCCACTTTCTCACACCAACCCTAATCCAATTTCTGTACCCAAGAGCTTTTTCCCTAAATGGAGTCAGATGGTACCTGCATAAGCCGCCCCCCACGGGGTGGTACGGTACTTTTGAGAGTTCGCAAACTCAAATTTTCTTTTTCTACTTAATTAAACAATAACATACTAGTCATCTAGTACTACGATATAATGTTAATTTTTTTTTATTGGCAATTGAGAGGTCTTATATACGATTATCGTCAAATACAAATTTGAACAATATTATTATTAACTCATTATGAGACTAAAATCACATCTTCCCACGTAAATAATATGATTTGTTAAATAAATAAATAAATTGTACACGTGTTGTATTAGTACACTACAAATGAAGTTTGTACAAAATTGTTCTTTTGGTTTTCTGCATTTTAAAACTAAATTAAAAAAAATACAAAATCAAAAGTTCATGAAGGTCGATGTTCCACGCGTTGTGATACAAAATTCAGTTGCCATCCATCCGGATCAGATGTATTTATAAAGAATACTAGTGTAGTCAATCCTCCATGTAAACTCAATTTATTCTGCATGTATTCTCCGATAGAATAGGATTCTCTTCCATCTTATTCTCATCTATTTCTCTCATCTTCTCTCACATATTGTTTTTTGTCTTCTTGTCACTTTAAAAAATCAATATAAAATGTTGACGTGACTTAACAATAACTGTTCAAATAAGAGAAGAGGAAAGTGGAGAGAGATTAGAAGGGGATAGAATCCTCCTCCTTCTCCGATGACTTGTGAATCATCAACAATTATCTTTTTTACTAAGGTTTTTAATTTAATTAGTCATGAACATTGACTTGACAATTAAATTTAATCCTGATAATTTTTTGATACAAAGCGACATTTTACATTAAATCCATTTGAATTGGAACCATTCAAAAAGAAAATTCCAATTTAAGTGCATACAAAAAAAAACCATTACTTTAACTAACCTGGTTAAGTTCAGATTTGCAATTTAATCACGATAGTCTAAGTAATCAGAAAGAAAGAAAAACATGACAAAATCAACGAGGGTGAGAAATTTTTTTCTACATTTACTATTCCATAAAATAAGAATATAATAATTGAAAAAAGAAAGGTATCACAAACTACAGCACCAAAGGTTTCTTCCCACTACAAAACTCCCACCCTGACCCTTTGCTCATCTATTTGATTGACTGATAAGTCATATACATGGAGGTTAAAGGGGTACAAATGCTACAAGAACCTACTTCAGTTTCTCATTTTCAAATCCCTTTGATCTGACAACCATCCACACCTTCAGTCTTGGTGAATTTTCATTTGGCTGTTCCTCGAGCTTTATCGGATTAAGTATTGTTTCTCGGGGAGTTTTTCAGAAGTTCATGGAACTTTTTTCGCCTCTAGCGATCATTTTGTTGCCAATTCCTCGGAATCAGACAAAGCTCCATCCATTTCGTCGAAGTATGGCCAACTCTTTCTACTTCTTTTTCCGCTCTTGCTTTCCTGTTTATGAAGACGTTGTTTGATTAGCGCAATGATAAACCAAAGTAACAAGCACAAATGGAAGAAGGAACGCCGGCATTAGGGTGGAGGTGGACAAACCTCATATTTCTGAACCAGGGATGCCCACAGAGATTTGCATTGTCCTGGGCTTCGGTTGATCCCATCAGCCAACAAGTTTCTAGATATCTCTTCCCAGAGGGCCATTCGCCCCTTCGCAACTTGAAATCTGCCATGCAGTTTCCCCCGCATTGTAATAAGCTTCTTAACTTCCTCAGGCTTCCATCTATTGCGTTTCACAGGCTTTGAAGGATTTGGTATTTCACTGTTTTCAGGACCATCTTTCTGTGGATGTTCCTGTTCCGCAACCAAACCATTTTCATCTTGAGCTGATTTGTCACCAGTTGATAAAGTAACCAATGATTTCCAAAAATCCTCCGAATCAGAAGAAAGCTCCTCTGACTTGGAACTTGAAGTAGCAGAATCTTCCTCAGGTAGGAGTCCTTCGACTTGAATGCCATCATCTTCTAGTTCGGACTCTGATGAGATGAAATAATAAAACATACTCAACGTCAATGCTGTAAATCACAACTCCAGGAAAGAATACTTAGATATATCAGATTGACATAGAGGTGGCAGTTATGAAAAGAGAAATGTCTACAACACATAATGAAAGGAAAACTGAGATCAAGTTCTTCCATATGATGATATCGACAGTTACTGCTAAGAAACACATTTTTCAGCCGAGTGTTGCGTATAATGACTGAATGCAGAGAGAGAGAGAGAGAGAGAGTAAAGGACCTTCCGTATCTTGTTGCAAGATGCTCTGTAATGTGTTGTCCTTGTCTCCATCTGCTTGTGTCCTAGTTGACTGACTCTGAAAATATGTTTGTGTCTTGCCGTCATCTGCTTGTGTCCTAGTTGACGGACCCTTATTTTGATGTCGATCATATGCTTTCCTCAACTGTGACATCTCAGAACCAACATGGGATTTTGCAGATAGTCTTGCACTGACCTCATCAGCAAGGACTACTGCGGGGTTCTCCATGGCAATGGCAATGACGTCTGGCCTTTTACCACTGTACTTTCTTACCAATTTCCTCAATACCTCAGACACTGTTCTTTCCATGTGAGCCAGAGGACAATTTATGGGGCAGCTTGACAGTGCAGCGTGGGCAGCTTTATAGAGTGCATCAATAAGCTTTCCTTTGTCAAGCCATAAACATCGAGTAGTAATTTTTATCTTCCCCTTTATGCTATTTTCAGCCAAACCATTTACGTTTTCAGGGCGTAAAATTTCCATGCTTAAGACCAGAAAAACAAAAAAGAACATCAGGATGCTATCATATAGAAATTTCCATATTAAGAATATGTCACATGTGTCACTGAAGAATCTATGAGATCTACCTGACCACTATTATGCCGTCTAAGGCGATTCTTAGTCTCTCATCGACACACAGTTCGCTTGAAGTACCAAATGCTTTATCACCATCACTAAACTTCAACTGTAATATAATAGTAGATTTATTAGAAATTGCCAATTAACTTCTCATAATGGACATTAAAGCTTAACACCAACCTGCACATTCTCTTTTCCAAGCATGGTGAAACCACTAGAAAGTACTCTTCTGTTTCTTAAATGTGAAACGCCAAGCATTTCCCCGTTTTTTATAACCTGATGCATAAAAAATTTCATGTTTTAGCATCTTAATACCATGAATCCTTCCACATTATGACCACATACGAAAACTACTATCATGCATACTACATATGATTGAACCATATCATCCACCAAGGAAGCATCAACAGGACAAGTTCCTTGAGTATAACAAGATGAACAGATTGACTCACAGTGGTGTGATGAATGCCAGTTGATTTGCCAAGCAATTCATGCTCTTTGAGGAACAAGAGTTCTCCATGTATCGGCAGAAAATGTTGCGGCTTCACGATTTGAAGCACTTCTTCCTTTAAAAGAAAAAAAGATTCATTCCCAATTAAAAAATATATAAGATGGAGCCAAATGAATATTGCACATGAGAATGCATATCAGGTGATTCAGGTTACAAATAATCAATATCGCATTATAACTTGCCCTTGAGAAAAGAAAATGAAAGAAGGTGAAACAAAGAAAGGACAGCCATGTCTATATTGTTCTAAAAGCAAGGAACCTGCACAGATTTCGCACAAAAAATTATACACTGCTGTGTTGTTTTTTAAATGAGAAGATGCAATAGTGCCACTAATATCAAGTTTATTATCACCTTTCAGAATTTTAGAACAAAATCCTACCATTTAAGAAATTAAACCATATGAAATCAAAATCTTGAGATTCAAAGGACTTACCAATTCTCCACGATACCCATGACCAGAAGTGTGCAGTCCCTCATTCTTACCCATCACTATAGTTGAGCCAAGATCTGATATGCGGTTTAACATTTTCATTACCCGAGATTCATTACCAGGAATTACCTATAAGGTAAACAAGGTCAAAAAAGCCAAATAGATCGATCTCAGCATATGCAGCAACAAAATCTATCAAAGCAGATCTCAGAATTCTGAAAAATAGAAGAAATAATTGGAAAAGATTTCCAAAATATTTAAGCTGATATTCTCTGTGTAACTTCCAGTTTTGAAAATTTCAAATTTGACCATGGACTCTGTTGAAATTAAACTTCAGAAAAATTTCGGAAAACTTTCTTCGTTCTTTCTTTTTTCAATGAAAGGCTAGATCTGTTAACCAGTATAGGAAACTTAATAGGGTATAGGAACTATATGCCAATAAACAAAAGAAGTTGAAGTCATAAAAATTCTTATTCATCTAAATAAATTTGGTTATGCCAATAAATTTGGTCATAAACTTGGTGCGAT